CCCCCCCCGATAGACTTACCTGCAGGGAGCTGCAGGACCTGCTCTCCACTGCACTGCCTGGGTGTAGTGCCAGCCACATGCATGTGTATATGTGCACATGCACATAACACTCTGCCTTACTGCCCTCCTCCTGCTCCCCCCACAAGCCCCAAGCAGTACCTTGAATCATGTAAGGATCCTTAGGATCATTTAAAGGAAACGTGTTGATTCTTGAAACTTTAGACACTATATTAACCTACTACTAAAAAGAGTTAAAGTAGAAAAGTGTAAGAGTGATATAGCTGTGATGGTTCAGAAACTGCATGAGAGGCAATGACTTATTAAGGTTTTATTTTTTATTGGATCAACCAACTGTATACTCATCTTTTACTATATTGTGCTTGTCCTGGTCAGACCTCATGAAGAATGTCTTTGAAAACTTGTTTAACTCTATCCCAACTATACAGTTGGTCCAATAAAAGATATCACTCGAAGAAATCCTTGCCTCTCACATTGAAGTAGAAAAAAGCATTTGGGAAAGTGTCGCAGTAACTCTAATTCATTCTTCTTTCATGTTCAATTTATACCTACTGAACTATCTCCTATGAATTAAAATATTACTTTTCTTCTAAAAGAGTCACAGAAATACTTACAGAGAAGTAATAAACAGCCCATCAGTGATATACAGGAATATAAATAAGGGAGGTAGAATTCCCAAAGATCTGTAAGGAAAATTAACACAGCTTTAGACCCTTAAATATTAGATGTTATGCTTTATTTGAATTGCTTAAACTAACAGATAGTAAAAATGGTAAGTTTACACCAGTCCCACACAAAATAAATTATGCTGTTTCATTATTCCATTCTTTCTTCCAAGATTAAACAATAATATTTTATAAATGAAACAAAGAATTAGACAGTTTATTAAATCCTTGGTGCTTTGTGGGGGAAAAAAAACCCTGTTTAAGTAGCTTTGACAGTATTTGCAACTTGCTCTAACATTAAATATGTAAGACACTGTCCACAAGACTACTGAATTTCTTCAGTATACTGAAGACATTTACAAACACTAGCTGAATGCAAAAAATGAGGTACTGGTTAAATAAATGCAATCCCTTCTCATCCCTTTCCCCTCCCCCCTGCAAAAAGGAGCAGTACAGAGATTTACTATAAATGTATTTTAATTGCAAACATCCACTTTGACAATATAAACAGCAAAACTGCTTTTTTTTAAAAGTCCATACCATACAAAGATTCCATACTGGCAGCATCATTGTCAATGAGAGCTGAAGCTACCCAAACTATTCCAAGGATAAGCAGTGCAAGAAGAATAAGCATAACAACTGTTTCCAAAATGCGTGCTTGGATTCCCTAGAGAAAATAAAACAGATTTTCATTTTAAATAGAAAGCTTCTGACACTAAGCAAATTAAATTAAATAACTCTATTTGTGTATGTATATATTAAGAGCATGTGAGAGATGCATTTCTTTCCTTTTTACACCCAAGGGAAAAAGCAAGTTCTTATGGCTTTATAATGTCAGGACTAGCCCCCTTCTCCCTAAAACCACAGAAAACTGTTTAAAATTACTTCAGCTTAACAGTTTACACCACTCTCATTTTCCATAAAAAAATCTTTGTACCTTATGATTTTCCTGGGACATTTTAAAAAGATGAATTACGTTTCTAATACTTTCAGCTGAGAAAGTGGATTAGCAAATTTTTATCTGTGATTCCAATCAAGGGAATGGAAAGCCAATTATGGCAAATAGCCAAATAGCCCCAGCCAACATTAAACCCTGCATAGGTACAATGCACCAATTTACTTAAAACAGTCTTCAACTGTAATTGCTTCTGCATCATTCCTCACAGTCTACAGAGCCCTCAAGTGTACGCCTGGAGTATTGCTCATTCTTAGTCTGGCCACATCTTGCTGCCGCAGTCACATCAATTACATCATACTTCTTAAGTGCTCTACAACTGATGAGACACTGCTCACAGGATACACACAGATTACACGCACGTAAAAAGCTTTCTAAAATATGTCTGCATATACTGTAAAGTGTGAAAGGCTATATTAATGCAATGTTAAATTCAGAGAATATTTGTATTACTAATTAGACTACTAAGAATTAATATTACTATGACAGCCTAACCTTTTTCTTCTGTCACCCTTAACATTAAACTTGAATATTCATTAACATTTTTGTATTTCGTTTTCTCATTGATAAATTGCTCTCCTTCAAGGATTTTCAGTACAGGTCCCTTCTTCCCCAATCCCAGCATGGTCAGAATTTGTCAGAGTGTTTTGGCTTACATTGCCTTTACAGGCATACACCTGCACTGAAAGCCTACTTGAAACCCTCAAGTTGCAAGTGGGAAATTTCTTCCCCCTTTATTTTGTCTCTTCTGTCCTTAGAACATCCCCCCATCACCCTTACTGCCCTCTTGTCTAAGCAATCATTAGATGATAGTCTGCCAGAAAATTAAGTTCCCACAGGATCTTGGTATCTATCCAAGAATGAAGGGAGGGAGGCCTTAGAAGTCTTAAACATCTGTACTTGGCTGATGCAGCACAGACTGCAGTCTCTAAACAGCTCCTCTCCTGCTCTGATCAGCTGTTCTATACAGATCCTTTCCAGGTGGTCTGGACTTGCTGAAGTAAGGGAAGAGGACAAAGAATCAAAAGACCTTTTCAACCTCCTGGTTAGAGATCAGGCGAGAAGATCAAGCCCAGGCACCAAATCTCTCCCACCACTTTGCCCAAGTTTCTAATTAAAGCTATTAAGGACAATGCAGAATTCTCCTCAGTCAGTATTTCATTCATGTGGGACAGGCCTTAAACATTGATAAAAATCTTAAAATTTCCTACTATGAATTATCAGAACCTAATTTTTGTTCTCCCATAACTCTGATTATTATAGCTGGAAAACATGCATTTTACCAAGTAGTCTAGGAATGCAAAGCAGGGTTTCTTGAAGACAGAGAGGACCTTCTGAGCCCCTCTTAAAACCTCACGGATAGAAGGAATGAACAGACCCAAGATTTCTGTCTTCACAAGACAGAGGCAACAGTTTTCCTCTCTACTATTGATTCTCTGAAGAAGCAGGCATGGTCTTCAACTACCAAGTGTCTCGAGAATGGATTCTTCTTGGAACTCATGAAATGCATCTAATTTTGAGCGTCAAGGAGAAGATGAGCCAGAGTGGCACCTCACAGACTGTTGTTTGTCCTTCAAATTCAAAGATAATCATAACATCACTGATTGGTTTGGTTCCTGTGAACACATGAATGGCTGATCAGGCCAATTTGTGCCTTAAACTGTCTATGGAACACTGAGCAAGAGATGCCGCTTTGGGCACCTTATAAGACTAACTTGTTCAGAGAAGCATGAGCTTTCATAGGCTACAGCCTACCTTATCAGATGCTATTATGTGGAGGTTGCTACAGAACAGCATACAGCAGTCATTTTTTTCTTTCCAAAATGGATTTCTTAACATTTACTGAAGTTTAGTTGATGGACTTTAAAAAGTCTAAGTGAGATTAGGTCATGGATTACCACACACTGGATAAGACTGGAACTAAACAAAGTGACTGTGGATAGTGCTGCAAGGCAGCCATAAAATTTGGTCAGATTTAAATTGACCCTCAACTGAAGGTATTAATTTTTCACTTGTGAAGGATATTAGGCAAATATCTTATGCAGGGTTCCTTGTTTTCTTTGTTAAAAATTCCAATATTCTCCGATTTTAAAACCCCAAATCCACATACTTCCACAATCAAAATGAAACGCCAGTATGTGTGTGCATGTCTGCGTGTGTGGCTTGTACCAGGTTAGAATCCATTAGCAATAGTATTAGTACACAAGAATCTGCTTTCATTTGCATCTGACCGGGAGGTTATAGTCTTTTTTTCCGGATCTCACACAGGTTATTGGCTCCATCTTCAAAAACTAATTCCTCAACTTCTCACATCCTATTGACACCTGCTTCAGAATTAAAAAACCTGAGCTGCCTGCCTGAGACTCACATACCAACAACTCTCTTACTTGTATTTCGAGGTATTCTGGGTAATTCTTAAACATCATAACAATTGATCAATATTGCCAAAAGATTTTGTTGAGCTTATGGATCATACCTATCTTTTGATGCATGTCATCAAAACAGTCTGATTACAGAGTAATCTTAACTTTATTATGACCATCTTCAAAAATAGCATTCGTAGGTTATTCAGACAGAAGGGAATGTATAAATATATCAGAAGTTATTTTGGATAAGTAGAGAATTACTTGTGGTTCAAAACTGATGATGCTAGTGAAAAATACATTGAAGAACTGAAATGAAGTACTGGATATATATTCATTACAGAAAGACTATTTTGACAAAGAACAAAGCTGTCAAGCTTTGTGGTAGAAACTGCAGTTAGATTGGAAGCAATACTGGCTCTTAGATAGTTATAAGATGCTTCAAATCACCTATTAAGCATTATTGTATGGTCACCTGTCCTTGTCCATGGTCAGTAAGCATTTCTCAGGGACTTTTCAAACTACAGCACTGCAAATATCTTATGCAAGGATCCTGTTTTTCTATGTTAAAAATTTCAAAATTCTCTGATTAAAAGACCCCAAATTCACATATTTCCGTGATTAAAATGATGCTCTGTGCGTGTGCATATATATATCAAGTATCAGTTGAACATGATGTTTTACTGATATATTTACAATTTTAAAGCAATTTAGAAGACTATCAGTGCCTCAAGCATTATAATAAAATAAATTCTAAATACCTATATAGTTTTGGCTTTTGATTTTGTTGTGGTTTTTTTTTTTTTGTTTTTGTTTTTTTAAATCATGCAAAATCCCCCTGCCCCCTTCACTCAGCAGAATGAATGTGGGTCCAGCTACAGCTGTCCCCCCTGCTGCTTTGTCGTGCTGAGCAGCCCTGGTCTTCTGGTGCCCCTCACTCCCATAGTTCCCCCAGCCCCCCAGTGCACCTCATTCCCAACCCGCAGCCCCTGCCCACCCTCCACTCACTCCCTCCCGTCACCAGCTCCCCCCTGCACCAGGACACAGGTCCAGCTGCAGCTGCCCCCCACTGCTGCTTTGTTGTACTGAGCAGTCCTGGTCTACTCGTGCTCCTCACTCCCAAGCCACAGCTGTCCCCCCAGCCCCGGGGTTTCCTCATAGGCTTCCCCCAACCCTGGCATGGTGACCTCCCAGCTGCTCCCTGCCCCTACTTACCCCAAAGGCTGCAGGAGGTAAAACAAATCTGAGCCAGCCCTGGCTGGTCTCATATTCTTAGCCCCCCAGAACAGAACTAAGGGTTTTGCACCCTTTTGCAATCAGCTCATTGCAGGCTGGAACTCTGCCAAGGCTGCGGAGAGCTGTTTGCAAAATGGGAAACCTGTGTTTTTCTCCTTCAAAGGGGAAAATCCACTTTTTTTTCCCCTTTAAAAGGGGAAAATCTGTGTTTTTCCAAAGGAAACAGAAAATCTAGATCCCTGTTATGAGGAAGAACTCCATAATCTGTAACTTTCGTACTGAAAATTCCTGCAATGATAGGCTTCTTCTACCTCTCCTAATTTTAGCACATGAAGGTTGTTTTACCTCTACGGTAGTATAGTTTGGTTTCATTTACCAATTTAAGGCTCTACCAATATTTAACTACAGGCATGACTTTTTAAAAACAAATTCAATTCTCAAATTCTGGGCTTTGAGAAAAAGAGAGAAAAGAGAAACGTATCATACTGTCACAAAATAAACAGTATACATGAACAGTTTTTATACCTGATAAAAATCAAATTTACACTTGATAAAATCTAAACCATACAGACATGTCAGACTGAAATAGCTGAAATAAAATAGTTTCTGCTTTCTATGGCAACTTCTTTCTCTGCCCTATTTGGTCAAATAATATCTCTGTTTCCAATTTTAGTACCACATACTACCCTGGAACCCTTTAATATTTTTCCAGATCTCCAATGTGCTTAGCTAGTTATATATGTTACCCCAGTAATGATGCTGCAAGACAACATTACTACTTGTCTTCTCAGAGTATGTTCACTGTAGATTTTTAATCATCCACTATTATAGCTTGTAAAACAGTTAACAGGTTAGGTATTCCTGTTTGTACCCTATTCATTTTTATTTCTTAAAATTGTTTTTGAATGGATATCCATCAACAGCTTTTCCTTTCATCCACTTCCATATTTTATCATCCTAAATAAGCATGCTTCACTGCAATAATAGTTGCCATTTTGCAAGTTTTAATGCTGCTTATTATAATTAATGATCTCAGCTAAGTTTCATCCTAAAACTAACTATAAGACCATCCTTAATTTTAATGTTCATTCCACTGACACACGACTTATAGAGAGAGTGATCTTAAAATACGGGCCAAATAGGCACAGTTCACAAGCAAAGCTAATCAAAATTAACTCACATCAGGAATCCAAAAGTGAGAATGTAATTGCAAATGAAACTGTGGGGAAAGGAACAATGATCTAATTTTAACTTACTTGCACTATGTCAAAGGACTTTATCCAAATTATAGAAATCAATTATAATAATGGAATAGACACCAGAGAAGATACTGCCTGAATTGCAAATTATAGGAGTCTGAATTACTTCTGATTTGGGGATCTAATGAAGTTAACACAAAACCCAAATACTTCTGCAGCATTTAGACACTCATTTACAATGAGTACTCTTGTTTTAAAGCAAGAATTATATTTAAAATAAAGAGTTAAAACTCATCTGTAAATCAACTGAAGGTTTTTTAGTCTGTAATTACAATTGTGATTTTCACTGCATCAAACATTTTTTGATCTCAGAGTAACCAAAAACTGTACATCTTTAAATAAAACTTCAGGTATACATTTCATTTTCTATAAACCGTATTAATATTTTTGGATAGAAGCGCTGAAGAAAATATTCAGGCTTTAAAGTTTAGACCATTCCAGAATTTTTTGATCAAAAAACCCCAAATCCATGTATTTCTGTGATTAAAATGAACGTCACTCTGTGTGCATGCATGTATATATAAGTATCAGTTGAACAATGTTTTACTGCTATTTACTATTTTAAAGCAATCTGGAAGCCTACCAGTGCCTCAATCATTATAATAAAATTAATTCTCCACATTATTTCACACATTATTTCAAGGACTAATCTCTTCTGTTCATCACTACTTAACATCTGTGAAAGCAATACTGATTACATGGAAGAGCAATAATAGGAAAGTAATTAAGTACGTTAGATAAAAACTGTCATTCATTTTTAAAGCGGTCCTTTTGGAGGGAAAAAGCAGAATGGACTATAGCACACCAAAAATAAGTTACTGTTGAACTAACTGTAAAACAAAATTTAGCTTCAGTTTTTTTGCTAAAATAACCTATTTTCTGAAAAAAACCCTGATATATTTATTATTCCCAAATCAAGCCCACCTCGCATGAACTGTTGACAAATTCAGAGATACTATAAAAATGACTATAAAAAGTGATATCCCCAGGATGTTATTTACACACATGAGAACAACTACTCCTTTCTGCTCTGCATTTAGCCTATGCTCTGTAGCAGATGAGAAAAATAAAATCCAATGATGCGCAGTAAGAAAAAATTAAATATGCATTGAGATAGCTTATAGATAGAAAGACACATCAAGTATAATCTCAACACACAAAATACTAAGTAAAAAATTCAACTTGGATAACCATGGCCAGTACACTTCCCTACAACTGAGAGAGACAGATCACAGTCTTGTGGACAAGCCAGACACTGAGAACAACTAGCATGGACGACCCAAGTTTTGTTTTTATTTAGATGCGTCAATTAATGAATGCAATCCACGGCAGAGGGAGCTGGGAAGGTAATGCATTTATTCTATTTTTAGTAAAGACCAGCTACATCACTCTGCAGTATTTCTATCAGCAAGCCACAAAGTAGCATAGTGTCATTTGTAATGGAAAATTGCTTGCTTTCTGTTCTAGCTTACAATTAGGCACTGGGATGCTAGCCAGAAGTGTAGGGGTGGGTGGAGAGGTGGAAAAAGGAACTGAGGCAACCAATTCTTTAAAAATATTTTTCAAGGTTACAAATAGGATGTGTACCATATACTGTACTGTGCATGCAAATCAACTAAAAATAGTATGGAAATAAATAAAAAAGGACTATGCAAAACGAATGTACAGGCATAAAAACTAAATGAGATGGGGAAACTAAACATATTGCATAGG